AATTTTAATTTGATTGGATCAGCTAAGCTAGTGATGTTCAAGGCTTTGTATTTAAAAAAAAAATAAAAGAATGATTAAAAAAGAAAAATCAAAATTTTATTTTCGTTTTGCAGTAAACTCATCCAGCCAAAAACAACGCTTTAAAGTTAAAATTGATGAATCAAGCCAACAAAAGAGTATTCAGGACAAACCTGCAGAATTATCTGGTGACATGAAAAAGTTGAACATTGAAGAGAAAGGATATCAAAAGGACACAGTCAGTAGAACAAGCGATAAAGAATCATCAAGTGATAATGAAATCACACATGAGAGCTTGAATACAGAATCTGAATCACATAAAGGGAATGAAGCTGCTGCCTTTCTGGAAAAAGAGGAAATGATTGAAGACAAACAAAATATTCCTAAAGAATCAGAAATATCGGGAATTTTACGAGTCTCCAAAGATGCATCGGATGATCCAGAGAAAAAAATTACTATGGTAGACTTTGCGGGACAGTGTTCATATTATTCCTCACACCAGATTTTTCTGAGTCCAAGGGCATTCTTCATCCTAGTGCTTAATATGGAAAAGAAATTACTTGAAAAGGTTGGAAAAGAAGTTTGTAGCCAGGAAGGTTCAATTTACGAAGGGTGGACACACAAAGGTATGTTTTTATTACAAAATTAGTGTTTATTATGTGTAGTTGTCTAGTTTCTGTCGAAGCAAATGCATTATAATTGCGGAAGTTCTTTCTGCTTAATTTTTATAATTGACAAGCAATCTCATTTTAACCCATTTCCTTCGTGGTACGACTGTAGTCGTCATGTGCGCTATCTTCGGAGTACCACTACAGTCGTTGTTTTCATACAAGCGTCTTAGAGGCCCTTGAATTACTATGTAAAAGCCCCGTATGAATAAAACGTTTGCATGATCTAGACCAGTGGAAATTTCCCTTGCTCATGCGCATTAAAAATGAAACTAGATACCTTGATTTTTGGGGAAATTTTGGTTAAAGCAAAGGAAATCAGAGTCACTGACGCGATCGTAGTTTCAAAATGGCGGAGAGAGAAGAAGGACTGAGCGATGGTAGTGATACTGAGGGAGATTATGACAAACAAGAAGAAAATATTGCAGATGTAGAAAGAGAAATCATTTGTGGAGATGTTGATGACTGGATTCACAACATACCGTATAACTGGTTTTTAATGCGGGTGCAAATTTTTGCGATTTGATTCTGAAATAGGTTTATTTATTTTTTGCGATTTTAATTTTTGCGATTTCACTTTGACATGGGCATCTTCAGATTGCCAGACAAAGCTGACTACTGGAGGCAAAACAAATGGATGTTTGTAACAAATTTCAACAGAGTGATGTCCAGGGACAGATTTTTCTTGATCTGGAGATACTTTCATGTGCAGAATACCATATAATCCCTATTAACCGCCCCGGGCGCTTAGAAAATTGTGAAAAGGGGGCGGTTATTTGGTATTTAAGTTATATTTTTCGATGTCATATTTCAGCTTAAAAAAATATTTTGAATAAAGAATAAAATTCTGAGAACCACGAAATAATTGTCTTACTTTCCTTTATGTTAGGATAAGCCACTCAAATTATGCAAATTGATTTATTTTCCACCCAAAAAAATAGACAATACATGAGGAGAACGTCTCTTGGTAAGTAACTTTCACTTTCAGAAAATTGTAAACAATGATTAGTTCGTTCGCAGAATCTTTCACTTTCAGTTCGATTAACTTTTTCAAAGATTATTTCGTTTATCGTCCTGGTGACCCAGGGTCACTATCAACTTCCTCGTCAAGATCGGAAGCTTCCCCATCGGTTTCATCGCTCCATTCGTTGACAGCATCCAATTCCATTTGAATGTTTTCCTGAAGTTGGTTAATTCCCTCAATATCGCCTTCTGTGGCGGTGTCAAATCCCTCAAATGGATCATCACTTTCATCCCCCGACTGGAATAATAACTCATCTTCTGTGCCATCGAGGTTATTGGAAATTCCTGTTTTCAAAAACGATTTCCGTATAATATCTGGGGAAACCGAGGCCCATGCTTCTTTTATCCATTTCAGAATTGTTGTTTTCTCCAGTGGTCGGCGATTTCCTTGTTTTGTTAACGAGACATTTCCATCAAACAACCATTCGTCGTAAAGTTCTCTATAACGATCTTTGAATGGCTTATTCCAACTGATATCGCAGGGCTGCAACTTCGATGTACATCCACCAGGAATTATTGCTACATCTGTATTATATTTTCTTGTCAAGAGTTCTTTAATAGCTTTAGTCTTATGTCCAGAAAACGAATCCCAAATTAGTAACCTCTGGGTAGAATTTTGTCTCCAAATGACATGTAGCCAGAATTTCATTGTACTTTCATCCGCCCAAGCTTTTGGAGTCATTTTCACAATGACTCCTGTGGGTACATCTTTTAAGGGATGCACGCCTTTCATCAAAACTAGCGGAAGCAGCTTGGTACCATCGGCTAAAGCGGAGAGACATACAGTTATTCTAGATTTTTCATGCCCTGTACTGGCCATCTTTATAGTCTTTTACCCTGAAAATTCAATTGTTTGGTCCCCTGGCATATCCATCCACACTGGTGTTTCGTCCGGACAAGGGATATTCTTTTCTTTTCCGCATCGCTATAACAAATCTTAAAAACCCGTCAACTTTATCACTGATGTGACTTTCTGTTTTTTGAGCTGTATGTGCAGCTCTTCGGAAACATACACCATTCCTTTTCATAAATCGTCGCATCCATTGGCAACTTGCTTTAAAACTTTGATTACCGTTTTGCAAATGTAGACGTCGAGCTTCGTTTTTAAGGGCTTTCCCCGTAACTCTGGCACCATCATCACGTTTACTAATTAACCACTCCATTAAATCATGCTCAATCTGTGGAAAGTTCAGTTTTCTTCCTCCCCCAAATCTCCTCTTTCTGCCTATGCCCATGTTTGCTGCGTTTTCCTTAATGCTGTCTTCAGTTTTTCTCCACTCACGTATTCTTTTTCTATCAACATTAAAATGTTTCGACGCTTTATGATTTCCATTGACCTTCGCAAAACTGATCACTTTGAGCTTAAACGCAAAGTTATAAGAAAATATTTTTTCCCCTTTATGTGATGTGGATCTTGAATTCTCCATCTTTATTTCCTGTGTAGTTGTAACACGAGCATTGATTGGTTACAAAGTCGGGAGCCTGAGCCCGATTACGCGACATCACCTGTTGATTCTCATCAATTCATGTCATACTATTTGTATGATAGGAATACTTTACGTATGAATTACCTAAGATCCCTGTTTCATTTTCACTTTCTTCAATTTACCTATGGCGGACTTTGGATATGATTCTTGTATTTGAGGTTTTCATATTTACAAAGATATTTGGAATCCAGTTACCGGAGAAACATTAAATACTCGAAGAGAAATACACAATCCCGTTGACAAATATGCAGTGGCTGTAGTTAAGGACGACACCATTGACAGGGTTGCAAATAACCACTCGCCCACTCGCAAATGCGAGTAAATTTTCCTGTGGGCGACCAGCTCTTGAGAATATTATCGCCCACATGGCGAGTAAGAATTTTATCGGACCTTTTCCAGAATCAGATCGTAGTTTGGTTCAACTATCCAATGTACTTTCGTTTTCATATCCCAGGCGGATTTTTCTGTGCTTGATCATTCAGCTGATTCCATTTTTTAAATATTAATTGTAGCTTTATTTGAGATACAAAATATGTCAATCTAGTCAACGTTTACCTTAAATTTAAAGAGTAATCAATATTGTAACAAGAATCCCCCCATTCTTTTTCTGCCGCTATAGGCAGCCATGTTGGGTGTCCACTGTATATGTAACACCTGGTTAATTCAGTCCAGGTATGTTTGGCTCCTTTATTTAAAAAAAAAAACGACATACCGACCCTTGGTTATTTGGGAATGTTACAAGAATCAAATATTTTTTAAGCCTAATTCAAAATAAATGCCCTGAAACAACTTAAATCAAAAGAAATAAAAATTGAATTGAATGATAACATGGAATTTCATACATTTAGTAGTGTAAAAGTCTGCAGGAAAAATTTGAAAAGGAATAATGAAATACTATGGCGATACAGTATTTTTCTCTTATGTTTTCATATGAAAAGATTTTTTACAAAGTGAAAAAAAAATTGTGGGCTCCATAAAATCAATGTGGGCTAGTAAAACTTGTGAAGTTGGGGGCCCACATGGCCCCTAAGGTTTAAATGTTATTTGCAACCCTGCATTGTCGGACACGTGCCGAAAAAAATCAGCAAAACTGTGGCTTTCTTTCTTAAGCATGGGGGAACATTGCAGTGTGTAGTCGCAGGAAAACATTGATGGTCGGATGATTTAGACATGGGTGGACTAGAAGTTCCGTGTGTTATGATTTTTACAGGACCAGCACCTCTTATTGAACAACTAAAAACTTTATTATAGGAAAGCACAGGGGGGGGGGGGGGGGCTTATTTTCCGGAAAATTGAAAAAGGCCTAGGGGGGCGGTTATAGGGGTAGGGGCGGTTAATAGGGATTATACGGTAATGAAATTCAGCCGGACACACCCGACAAATTGTGGAGGATCCGTTATCTCTTGGAGTTTCTAAATAAAAAGTTTGAAGAAATGTATGTGCCCCTATGGGAATGCGACAGTAGATGAAAGCATGATAAAATTTAAGGGCAGATTATCGTTTCGGCAATACCTACCCGCAAAACCAGTCAAATGGGGAGTGAAAGTCTGGGCACTTGCTGAAAGCGATACCGGATACTTGAGCAAGTTTCAAGTATACACAGGGAAAGAAAATAACCAAGAAAAAGGACTTACTCATAGAGTTGTAATGGACCTGTGCCATCATTATTTTGGATCCAACTTGTGTGTCTACTTGGACAATTCTTACACAAGTCCGGAACTTCTGAACGACCTTCACATCAGAGGAATCATGGATTGTGGAACGGTATGTGTGAATAGAAAAGGTCTTCCTAAACACCTACTACCAAGCAAAGTTGGTCTGCAGAAGCATGAATTCAAGGTTGCCCAGAAAGACAACCTGACTTACTGCGTATGGCAGGACACTAAACCAGTGACGGTACTTTCCAACTTCCATGATCCAGCCCACCGTGGTTAAGTTTCAAGGAGAGCAGCCGAGAATCGTGTCGTTCAAGTCCCACTCATGCTGGCCGATTATCAAAAGAACATGAAAGGAGTGGATCTCTGTGATCAAATGGTGGGGTATTACCAGCTAAACCACAGGTCAAAGAAATGGTGGCGCCGCATTTTTTTTTACTTGATGATGGCATCGGCCCATAACGCATACATTGTCGCCAAGAACATTCACACCCACGCCACGAGGGAGAGGTGGCCAGGATTCCAAGACTTTATCGAGGAACTGGTGGAAGATCTGATTGGTGACACCAGGGCTAGAAGGGAGCCACCAAAAGTTGACTGTGGGGGCAGGGCTACTGCCAACGACATTGTGAAAATGTTCCCAAAGAACAAGGTGTGTCGTGAGTGCTCTCTTTCTGGGCCGCAGGGACAGAGAAAAGGAGTAACAAAATTTGGGTGCCAGCAGTGTGATGTTCCAGTGCACTTAGAGTGCAGCTCAAAACATATTATGAGAATGTTGAAAAAGTGAATTGTGTTTAGGAATGTGTGCTCATATGAATAATTCTGTGGACTTATTGTTGTTGTTTTTTTTTCATAAATTTTATGTAAGTACATTGAATTTTGAACTTTTTAAAATAGATATTTCTTTTTATTCATTATCTAACAGTATAAACACTTTTAAAAACAGATTGTTTAAGTTAAAATTTGTTGTTTAAATATTTTTTTTCTTGGTTATAGTAAATTTGAAGCAAAGCAAATAAATGATGTTTATGTCAAGAAATACTCCATTTTCAAGAAATGTAATAACTGTTTTATTCTTCAAGATATTTATACCCCCCGCAAACGAAGTTTAGGGGGGGTATATTGGAATCACCATGTCCGTCTGTCCGTCTGTCTGTCTGTCTAGCTGTCCGTCTGTCCGTCTGTCTGTAGACGAGATTTTGTCCGGACCATTACTCAGAAACTATTGGAAGGATTTGTCTGAAAAGTTGTACACATATTATTCACCATATGAAGTTGTGCACCTGATATTTTTCATCTTGATTGGATTATTATTTTGAATTTTACAGGTATTTTTTCATTTTTATTTTGTGGTTTTGTTTGGATCGTTTCTCAGAAACTATTGCAAGGATTAATCTGAAAATTTGTACAATTATTATTCACCATATTAAGTTGTGCACCTGGAATTTTCAACTCTTTTTGTTCATTTTTCTGCATTTTACAGGTTTTTAAAAATTTTAATTGACTTGTTCATTTTGGGCTCATGTATAAAACATGAATCTAGAATATCTGTACAAAAACGTGAATTACAGCTTAAAACTACTCATAAAAACTTTTAAAAAAAAGAAACATCAGGTGTTAAAAACAGTTTTTACATTGCACAGAAGATAATGTAATTTCATTTGTCTCTTGGGAATAACGACTGGACATGCATCCAGTTAAAGATAAATTAATGAGTTTGGTGTTGGAAGTTGTTTAGGCATATCTCTTATCAAGTGTGTGTGTGTTATCAAATCTTCAGGGAATAAGGCACAAGAATTAAAGATCTCTCTTCTCTTATTCTCTTAATTGTAATTTATTGTCTGTCAAAACACTTCATTACTGGATGACCAGTTCTTTATTTTCAAAATGCATTTCAAATTGATATATCCAGATAAATTTGATTTTTTATATAATGTTTTTTTTTCAACAATCCGTTTGCAGAGTGACATAAAACATAATTGCAATATATTTTTTTAATGCAGTAATAAATAAAAATTAAATGAAAAAATTTTTTAAAAAAATGTTACAATGGAATTACAATGTATTAGTATTGATGTTTCATTTGGTTGCATCTCCGTTTCATTCATTAAGAAACATGATGAGCAATTATATTTCACTGCAAATTTTTTAAAGTAAATTGTGAACATCTCTAGATCCATAAAGTATTTTTGAATTGGCACCTTCTCTGAAAAACCCAGCGGGGGGTATTTGTCCCTATTGGACAGTTCTAGTTTTATTCTGTAAACTGTATTTGAAGCAGAAATAGTTGTTTTATGAATTTATGCAAAAAATGTGGTGTTTACATTCACTTTATTTGAGTAAAATGCATGTAAATAAAAATAATTTAAAAAAAAAATATTAATGTGTTTACAAATTTTCTTTTATTTACTCAGAGTATTATTGAGGATAATATTGCTTCTGCATTCTGAAATTTATATTGTAAGAAGCAGAATTTTAAGAGCTTTTAGAAAATATATACTTTATTATGTATACAGTAGTCATCTAATTATGAATGTAAGCTGGTGCTAATTGACTTAGCATTCTCAGCAGCAGCTCTGTTATCCTCCGTACTACTGATAAGCCAAGCTGAATTGGCTGCAGAAGGAAATGGGTTAAAGTCATAAATTC